TCTCTATAAAACTCTGGTTAGACCACACTTGGAATATTGTGTTCAGTCCTGGTCACCTCATTATAGGAAAGATGTGGAAGCTTTAGAGAGGGTGCAGAAGAGATTGACCAGGATGCTGCTGGAAAGGAGGGCAGATCTTATGAGGAAGGGTTGAGGGAGCTAGGGCTTTTTTCATTGGAGCGAAGAAGGATGAGAGGTGACTTGATAGAGGTGTACAAGATGATGAGAGACATAGATAGAATGGATAGTCCAGAGACTTTTTCCCAGGGCGGAAATGGCTATCGTGAGGGGGTATAATTTTAAGACGATTGGAGGAAGGTATAGGGGAGATGTCAGAGGTAGGTTCTTCACAGAGAATGGTGGGTGCGTGGAATGCACTGCCAGCAGTGGTAGTAGAGTTAGATGCATTAGGGACTTCTAAGCAGCTCTTGGATAAGCAGAAGTATCAAAGTAAAATAGTTTAGTTAGAGGTGATCTGAGAGCAGGATAATAGGTTGGCACAGCATTGTGGGCCTAAGGGCCTGTACTGTGCTGTACTGTTCTATGTGCTGTAATTAGGGATCCTCTTTAGAAGGAGCAATCACAGTATGGTTGAATGTAGAATACGGATGGAAAGTGAGAAGATAAAATCCAATACCAGTGTTCTGTGCTTAAACAAAGGAGACTACAATAGGGTGAGGGAGGAGTTGGCTAAAGTAGACTGGAAGCATAGTCTTTATGGTGGGACAGTTGAGGAACAGTAGAGGACTTTCAAAGCAATTTTTCACAGTGCTCAGCAAAAACATATACCAGTGAAAAGGAAGGACTGTAGGAAAAGGGGTAATCAGCCCTGAATGTCTAAAGAAACAAGGGAGGCTATCAAACTGAAAGATTAGGCATACAAAGTGGCAAAGACCAGTGGGAAACTAGAAGTTAAAAGTCAACAGAAAAGTAAGATAGCTTATGAGCGTAAACTAGCTCAGAATATAAAGTCAGATAGCAAAAGTTTCTGTAAATATTAAAATGAGAAAGAGTGGTTAGGGTAAACATTGGTCCTTTAGAGGATAAGGAGGGGGATTTAATAATGGGAAACGACAAAATGGCTGACGCTTTGAACAGGTATTTTGTGCTGGTCCTCACAGTGGAGGACATGCTTTGCCTGGTAGACTAGTGGTTAGGATTTGGTGCTTTCACCGCCACGGCCCCGGTGCAGTTCCTGGTCAGGGAACTCAAGGGGTGGTTTGCTAGTTTTCAATTACTAGGGGTCACGATTTCAAGCTGAGACGGGAAAAGTTTAAGGGAGATATGTGTGGAAAGTTCTTTATGCAGAGTGTGGTGGGTGCCTGGAATGCGTTGCCAGCAGAGGTGGTAGAGGCGGCACGATAGCATTATTTAAGATGTATCTAGACAGATACATGAATGGACAGGGAGCAGAGGGATACAGATCCCTGGAAAATAGGCGACAGGTTTAGATAGAGGATCTGGATCAGCGCAGACTTCGAGGGCCGAAGGGCCTGTTCCTGTGCTGTAATTTTCTTTGTTCTTTGAATAACAAACCAGTAATTGATGACAAGGAGACTGAGGTAGGTGAGGACCTAGACGTGATCATTATCACGAAAGACGTAGAGTTGTGCAAGCTGTTCGAGCTAAAGGTAGACAAGTCTCCTGGCCCTGATGGAAGGTCTGCCAGGGTACTAAAAGAAATGGCAAGAGTAATAGCAAATGCACTCGGTAATTTTGCAAAATTCACTTTACTCTGGGGCAGTTCTAGCAGATTGGAAAACAGCTAATGTAATGCCACTGTTCAAAAAAGGAGGTAGATAAAAGATGGGGAATTATAGGCCGGTTAACTTAACTTCTGTTGTGGGGAAAATGCTTGAATCTATCATTAAGGAAGAAATAAGAAGACATTTAGATAGAAATTGTCCCATTGAGCAGACGCAGCATGGGTTCATGAAAGGCAGGTCATGCTTGACTAATTTGCTGGAATTCTACGAAGACATTACAAGTGCGGTAGACAACGGGGACCCGATGGATGTGCCTCAAAAAGGCATTCGACAAAGTGCTGCACAAAAGGCTGCTGCATAAGATAAAGGTGCATGGTGTTACAGGCAATGTATTGGCATGGATCGAGGATTGGTTAATCAACAGGAAGCAAAGAGTGGGAATAAATGAGTGTTTTTCTGGTTGGCGAGCAGTGGCTAGTGGTGTGCCTCAGGGATCAGTGCTGGGGCCGGAATTGTTTATAATTTACATAGATGATTGGGGACCACATGTAGTGTGTCAAAGTTTGTGGATGACACGAAGATGAGTGGTAGAGCAAAGGGTGCAGAGGACTCTAAAAGTTTGCAGAGGGATGTAGATAGTTTGAGTGAGAGGAATATGATGGTCTGGCAGATGGAATTCCATGTTGATAAATGTGAAGTCATCCATTTTGGTAGGAATAACCATAAAAGGGGCTATTATTTATTTATTTTTCTTCATTCATTCACGGGATGAGGGCGTCACTGGCTGGGCAGCATTTATTGCCCATCTCTAATTGCCCAGAGGGCAGTTAAGAGTCAACCACATTGCTGTGGGTCTGGAGTCACGTGTAGGCCAGATCAGGTAAGGATGGCAGTTTCCTTCCCTAAAGGACATTTGTGATCCAGATGAGTTTTTTCGACAATCGACAATGGGTTCATGGTCATCATTAGATTCTTAATGCCGGGTGCTTATTGAATTCAAATTCTAACATCTGCCATGGGGAGATTCGAACTCATGTCCCCACAACATTATCTGGGTCTCTGGATTAACAGTCCAGCAAAAATACCACTAGGCCATTGCCTCCCCTTTACTTGAACAGTAAAAAAAATTGCAGCATGCTGCTGAGCAGAGGGACCTGGGTGTCCTTGTGCATCAATCACAGAAGGTTGGTTTGCAGGTGTAGCAGGTAATTAAGGCAAATGGAACATTGTCCTTCATTGTTAGAGGGATTTAATTTGAAAGCAGGGAGGTTACGTTGCAGCTGTATAGGGTGCTGAAGAGGCCACATCTGGAGTAATGCGTGCAGTTCTGGTCTCTTCACTTGAGAAAGGATGCACTGGCACTTGAGAAGGTACAGAGGAAATTTGCTAGGTTGATTCCAGAGTTGAGGAGAGTGTTGGCTTATGAGGAGAGATTGAATAGACTGGGATTATATTCATTGGAATTTAGAAGAATGAGGGGGGATATTATAGAAACATATAAAATTATGAAGGGAATGGATAAGATAGAAGCAGGGAGGATGTTTCCACTGGCGAGTAGAACAAGAGGGCATAGCCTCAAAATTGGGGGGAGCAGATTTAGGACTGAATTGAGGAGGAATTTCTTCACCCAAAGGCTTGTGAATCTGTGAAATTCCCTGCCCAGTGAAATAGTTGAGGATACCTCATTGAACGTTTTTAAAGCCAAGATAGATAATTTTTTGAACAGTAAAGGAAATAAGGGTTATAGTGAGAGGGTGGGTACGTGGAACTGAGGTCATGATCTTATTGAATAGCGGAGCAGCCTCGGGAGGCCAAATGCCCTATTCCTGTTGCAGGTTCTTATGTTCTTTCATTGGTAGTTTATCACCTTTTATATAGTGACAATATTTTAAATTGTATAAAGACAGAAGTTGCTGGAAAAGCTCAGCAGGTCTGGCAGCAGCTGTGAAGAAAAAAATCAGAGT